ATTACAATGCCTGAAAAGGCTATATCGTAAAGTAGGGAGAAGCTTTGCGCCCGTTATTCCTCGATGAGTACAGTAAGCATCAGGTTCCTGAACTGAACCTTTTTGTTGCCGTGGCATGCATCCACGCATTCGAATCCCATTTTCAACAATAGTAAAGTCTGAGGGGTAACGGGAACTGCAACTACTTGCACGGTCTTGTGGAGTGTAGTTTTCGTAAAAGGGTTCAGTAAAAATTTCTGGCCTTCAGACCTCCTCCAATATTCATTCTTGAAATGGACGGCATTACCAGCGCCACCCAATCATGGAAGAAAATTTACAAACCTAATAACTTGCTATTTACCAACAAACCAGTACATAAAGTTATTAATATTACTGAAAGCGAAATCAAGGTCCATGAAAGAAGAATTGTACCCACCAGTCAGTACGAGTGTTAAGTAGCAACTGAAGAAACGGAATATCCCTTATCACTGCAACTGTCATCTTTCCTCCTCTGAATCAGACTCTGAGATCTGTTGAGAAGATACCATCTGCTTCACAATACGGAGGAATGTTAAACACTTTTTCTTTCGGCTGGGGAGCTCTCCAACATCCATATTGGGGAAGGGATCGCGTCAGTTTCTCAAATTAATTCATCTGATATGTCTTTCTGGGGTACCTCACTATCTTTCCAAGCATAGAATCAATAAACAAATAAAAAAAGGAAGCAAAGGTTCTGTTCGTTCTTATTCCCAACTGCTCTAGTTCAGATGATTCACCGATTGATTTCGGTGTTACAGCAGGCAGTCATGCTCGATCTTTAGAGCACATCCCATAGGAGACGTGACATTATCCATCATTCCGTTTTCATGGAGCCTGACAATCACGAAGCTAAGGTAGAAGTTATCTGGAAGTTCCGCTCTCTGGCAACTTTGTGGGTCAAGGGACTAAAGCAATTCCCATGGAGATACTAAATTGAAGCTACCAAAAAAGTTTTACAGTTGCCAGCGCTCTCACTACGGAAAATTTCTAGAAAAAGCACCATCAGGGTCTAAAGTTTTGACAAAAACGTCTTTCCTAACCATCCCGCTTCCAAACAGAAGTGTCTAGCAGGAGAAAAAAGGTTTGTGTGGCAAAAACAAACTGCATTAGTAATCATCAAAAGACTAAATTCCTTCCGTCTATCTCTCATTCGTTTGAATAACTATAATTTGAAATCCGCTTTTGGTGAATTCTACGAACGCTCCAGCAATTCCTTCTGGGGGCACCACCCTTATAATAACTCTACCCAGTCTCTAGAATCTTCTCCCTGGCCATCTTTCTCGGGGGCTCACTAAGAATGCGCAGAGTGAAGGATTCATTTTTACTGCAAAGATTGGGGTACAACCTGGTGAAATGTCGTTAAAGAGGTCCTTGTGGTTTCCTTAACTAGAGAGGTGGAAATTTAGCATCTTGAGGTCGCTAGCATGTTCCTCTTCGCATAATAGAGTCAGACAACCAATATATATTTTGTATAGGTATTTATTGCAGTATCACTCCTGTAGGGATTACCAACATCGAGCCTCAGTATCGATTGATGACGCCGTCGTGGCGTCCACCCCAGTAGATCAAATTAGTTGGTGGGTCAAAAGAAGTTGGTGAAATCGGTAACTGCGCTACCTGAGTCCAAAGTAAAATGAATAACATTGTTCGATATACCTATAAGTTGTTTATATATTGATATCTTTAATGATACAGTATGATCCTCGAAGAAGGTAACATCTCGATGCTTCTCATTCACATATGAGCTAGTCCAGTATGCGGATGCTGCTGGAATCACTCAAGTGGTGGGCGTCAGTTATCGGCTGGTTGGCTGCTCTTGCTTCCTGGTTCCAAATTATAATCGGTAAGTGATGAAGGCCTAAATTGACAGTTACTGTTCGAGCTTGTCAGATTATGGTAAATAAGTCAAGTGATTCCAGTTCTGGGACTAGGTAGAGAAGAAATTCTGGATCATCAATGGAAGTTCTTTGTCTTCATCTTTCTCTGGATCATAATTACCTGCTCGTATTTCAATGCTGTGAGATTCTCATTCATTCTGAAGACGAACTATGGTGTAGGGATGTTGAGCAAGTTTCTAGCCGACGAAGAAATTTTTCATTTATCATCCGGAGGACTTGACCGCCCATGCCCATTTTTTCTCTAGGCTCATTTCATGACATTCCTCTGAGGGGAGGCCTACGAGGAGACACCGAGTTCATAGTCATTTCTGTCAGTTATGGAATGACCAATGATAAGGTAGAATGGGAAGCTTATCACTGCCCATCATGTTGGCACTCATGACGTCTGACTAGGGATTCGAGGGCCCTACAAAAGCCTGTAGACTTCAGTGAAAGGGGCGAGCCCCTTCACAGTTGCCCATGTGGCCCTGCTATAGGCACTGCATGTTGCGCTCGACGCGTGTGAAGAGGAAGATTCGAACTTCCAGCTAAAGCTTAAAGCGTTTGTCGCAAAAACACTGCCGTGGAAACACGCCGTGCCAGCAACATGCGTAGCAAAACTTCAGCCTGATGTTAAGGATCAACCCAAGGCTTTCTGCACTTAGATTACTGCTTTGATGAACCTTAACGTCATTTCAAGAAACGCGGTAAAGGGGCAGGTGTTGCTAGCCAGGTACAGTGTCGGTGAAGCATGCATTCCCATTTCTGATACCACTTCATGCTAGTAATGGGACCATACAACTAGTACAAAATTGATGGAAGTTCATTTTAAGTCGATGCTAACCAAAGAACCTATGCTACACTCTTTTAAGTTCAGATGTTCGCTGTAGCTCAGCCGGTCCCTAAAGAGTATCACGTTGATGGGGATGATGACGGTCAAGAAAGAAATGT